ATATAATGTTATACTTTCCTTAATTATTTTATTTAAAACTAAGATGATACATAATAAACATTCTTCTTCTATTGCAGATATTCTAAAATAAGAGATATAACAATTATAGTTTACAGAATTTTAAAAACCTAAAAAAGGTCCATCTTAAAATACAAAAAGAAAAATTACATCTTTATTTTCTAAACGAATGTAAAGACTAAAATTGATATCAAATTTTCTTCTGTTTAAGACATACAAGATGAAACTAAAAAATTGTAAATATTATTCTAAAGTATTACAAATAATTTTGAATAATAAAATAGAACTTAAAAGTATACAGATTAAATATTAAAAAAAAAATCACTTAAAAATATTTCATAATTTAATATCTTAATTGAATTTTGTTCATAGCAAGACCTGTATCGATATAGTAAATAATAGAGTTAAAACAAATCAGGTTAAGTCATTTAAAGAAGTTAAATAACTTGAAAAGAACAGAAAGGATTATTAAAACATCTACTGATGATCCAGATAAAGTTATATACAATTTATCTCAATAAAAACTTACTGAAATAGAAGAGAAAGTATTATTCTTTAATTTCCCTGAAAAAAATCATGCTTAATTTCTTGGCTATGAAGGTGCAGGTTAATAGGAAAAAATTTCATCAAATAATCACTAATACCATAAGTGAAGAAACCAATAACAATTGTATTCTTTTACCTGTCTTATTTAAGATAGTTTCTCATCTGAAATCATCCTATGAACTAAATAGTTAACAATTTAAAGCCCAAGTATAAAAAATGCTTACCTGTGAGCTACAATGATTGTTGTCTTATTAGTACATACTTTAGTAAGGGAATCCTGAATATGCCTTTCTGTCTTAGTGTCCAGAGCAGATGTGGCCTAGTAGAAAATAGCATAGGCTATTATCATTTATTATTGCATAATGGAGGCTTTTCAAGAGATAGAGAAATGAAGATAGGGCATAAATAAAACAATTAATTTTTGTGCATTTTGTAGATAAATTATATTCCACTCATTGTTTAATGTCAGTTTCATTAACAGTAGTGGTTAAAATGTTTTAACTAATATATTAATTTTTATTTTCATTATGAGTATTATTTTGCATTACCAGACGAGTATACAGATTTTGAACTAACCTAAATCTCCTAAGCTCAACAAACCTCATGAATTATTGTTGCAGTAAAGGTACCCAGCTGACAAATCAATGTTTTGTAATTGTTATAAGTTTCATGATATTGCATACACCTACATTAACTACTGGGTTAATTTTTAGTTCTGATGAATGTAAGTAGCTTTTTCTTTTAATCAGAACTTAATGATAACCTATTAATTAAATAAACAGCTAGTCATCTACAGTTTATTAGTTAATAGCTAGTAAATTTCACTAAACTTGCCACCAGTTGTAAAGTATGTGACCCAGAACCTTTAAAAAGCAGATTTCATCATATTTGATGCTATATACTAGAAATTCATTACATTTTTTATCATGAAAAAATAAATTAAAACACTTATTTGTTTGTATCAAACTGGTGTTAGTTTGATTAGTCATTACAAGAACAGTGATAGCTAGGGACTCATTTTTCACCTAATGAGCTTTAAAAATTTCATAAAGAAAAAAAAAATATATATATATATATATTTACTAATTAAGAAAGAGAATGATGATTGGTTACGGCTCTGTACTATTTTGGGGAAATTATATTATTAAGTACCTTCTAAGACAGCGTTTCCCAGACTATGTTCTGGGGAACATTGGTGTTCCGTCCAAGATTGATAGGGGCTCCGTGAGAAAATCATGATTTTAAATTTTAATAAAATATTTTGCACTTTTTTGTACAATCATAACTTATTATGAAATATTTTCCTGTTTATTAGAATTAGATAATATCGATTTCACATTGAAGAAGAATTATAGAAGATACCATATCTATTCTACATAATATACTAGTGGAGAGGTTTGTACCTACAATATATTATAAGCATAAAAATGTAAAAATTCATTAATATGTAATTGATTAAATAAATAAATGAATAATATACAAATCTAGAGGGCGCTGCACACATAACATACACTCTACACTGATATGTCTCCAGTGCTCCATAAGCTTTTGCTCAGCTGAAAAGTGTTCTGTGGCCAAAAAAGTTTGGGAAACGCTGTTCTAGGGCATACTTTTGAATTTCTATAAGGTTATTGATATTTAACTGGAATTTACCTTTTTAATTTTTACATTGAAATATCATTTTTCTGTATGGATTAGATATTCAAATTGACAAACTATATTACTTCCTGCAATAACTTATGGGTTTTATATAAATGACAAGAACAATACTAGTACTTTTTTTTTAGTTCTCTGCTTGAGTAAATCTACATTTAAAATAACAATGTAATACCTCAATTTTAAAAGCTATAATAAAAAGTATCAGAAAGAAATTCTAAACCACAGCCATTTACAAGTTGAAAAAACTATAATTAATATTGTTTCAGAAGGGGGGGTAACCAATAATTTGAAATAAAGATTTCTAAATAAACTTAGCCTTTCCATTTACAAAACCTTAATTCTTTGTTGCTCTTCAGTGTAAAAATTAACTTGAGACCTTAAGATTCTCTAATCTTACCTCATCAAGTAAAACTATTTCAGGAGCTTTAAGTAAGGTTCTGGCTATAGCTACACGCTGTTTTTCTCCTCCACTAAGTTTTAAACCACGTTCTCCCACAACTGTTTTATAGCCTACAATAATATAAGGTGTTTTAAATAACAGTAAAGATTTGCAAAACTGGAAACATGAATTCAATCAAGTCACATTACAGCTAATTTCTCTATCACTACCACCACTCCACAGATTTTTATTATAACTTTTTCTACTCTTCAAACAAATAAAAAGGAAAAACTTTAATGACTCTATTTTCTTTTAGATAAAGCAGAGCAAACCATAATTGATTAAACTGCAACTACTAACTTTAGCTTGGAAGACGAAAGTGGCTGAGGTGACATTTGACACTTTTATTAAGTTTATAAACAAGTTCTACTTCTTATTGTTTTACTTGTGTTCAACAACATCTTTATATGTTTTAAACAAATCTTAGCTCATTTATTTTAAGAATGTAAGCACAGAAATACTAAATTTAAACTTATTTGGTTCTTTAAATTCTGCCAAATGTTGTCTATTAATAGTTTTAATACAAACATCTATTTGGGTTTACACCAAACTTAGTGCTGAACTGTAGAACATTATTCCAAAATTAATGCTACAATGCAAAAAAATATTCAAACTGGATTAAATGCTAAGAGAAGCTGTTGTTACAATTGCATTGAATTATCAAGCTTCATCCTCTTGGTAATAAAAAGCCATTAAAACTATTATTAATTCTACAGAAAAGTGAAATTTTTTTAAAGAATTAAGAATTGATAATTCGTAGTTTATCCCTTATGAGAAGAATTAAGCAGACATTAAAATTGGTTAATGAAATTTAATCTCATTAAAATAAACATAATGTACAATTCAGAAAGATAAACAAAGTAACTGTACACTAACCATCGGGAAAGTCTAGAATCCTGCTGTGAATATCTGACCCTTTGGCGGCAGCTTCTACTTCTTCATCTGTAGCCGACACTCGTCCATACCTGATGTTGTACCTGCATAAAGAAAAAGACATTTAGTAAATCTGTTAATACAATACTGCCTCATTATAATGCTACCATCAGGAGCCATGTGCACCTGAGAGCAATATAGGTGGGGGAGCGTTATAACCAACTAGTCAAGAAGGCACTCATGCTGAACAAGTATGGATTCAACAGACTACTAAAGCAATCAATTAAATAAAATAAATGTTTATTTACATAGGAAAAATAGACATAAAAAAACATAGATAAGACAAAATAAGATATAATAATATCAGATAAAAACAATCAGCATTTCCAGTGGATGATTAATATTGCACCAAAAGTGAGCGGGTTTAATGCTACTTTACCAGCTACAATTAACATCTTCATTTCCTTCTGACACTGAGCAGTATCTTGGGTTTCACCTGTATACAATTCTTGGAACTTCTTGCTCTGTCCACAAAGTTAAACCATTTCCTCTTTTACCTTCTCCAGATGGATCATGGGTCAAAGGCCATGTCATCGTGTTTGACTCACATTAAAAATTTTATTGAACTACTATTTCGTGAATTTATGTCAATAACTTTGGTATCAAACTATAGTTTATAATTCAAATTTTAGTATTATCCATTATTTAATTTCTTAATTTAAAAGTAAATATTAAAAAGATATAGATAAACATTGATTTTTGTGTGTCACGTGGTATGTTGAATGCAGCACTGGTTCAAATACGATGTCTGTGAAGTCAAAATACTAAGTTTATAGTTTCATATGAATTAGAAACTCATATTACCGATATTATTACCAGCTTTTAACCAAACTCATACCTTTGATTTTGTATTATTTTTTCACATCCTCGTTTGTTAACATTAATGATGAATTAAAAAATTTTAAGAACTTTTACAAGAAGATTTAAAAAGTTATTTCATACATTCTGATTTATATATAACATTAGGATGATTTCAAGCCTATGTCAGGAGTTGGCATGCGGAGAAAACCATGTCAAGAATTGTTTCAAAGCAAATAAAATACCAAAAGAAATGGCTTCAACGTATAAAAGCTGTAATTCTACAAGAGGTGGTAAATATAATATATTTACAAATGTTTGTCCGACACAGCAAAAAATCATTACAGTTTGGTCATATAATACAAGTACTTTAACCTGATTCATCATTAGTCCTGCAGTGTAAAACAAAAAGCTTATTTCAATCTTCATAAGAACCTTAGTATTTCACTCTTGTTTCTATTATAATCAAATATAAAAATAATAAGAAAAAGACTGTTAAGCTTTGCAAACTCATCAAAATAGTAATTAAGAAACAGAATTTTTGATATCTTTCTTAACCTATAACGAAACCCAAATCTTAAAATAAATTTACAGGAGCTTAGCAGGATTTTAGATAAAAGTTGTTAATAATTAATTTTCAACTCTACCTAAACATAATAGTTTTTAATTTATTTTATTAACATACAAACAACCAACAAGTAGAAAATGTTTATGTAAGCATAGCTAAGAGATCCTCAATCAAATTTTGACAAAAACATACAAAAAAAAAGAAACACTTCCATCTTGCCATTGATATTCAGAGAGAGAATTTATTTTTCCTCACCTGATATCACTGTTGAAAAGAACAGTGTCTTGAGGTACGACTCCTATGTGTTTCCTTAGGGATTTCTGTGTCACCTGTGGTGTGTATTGAAATGACACAAAATACATATATAGAATTTCCTATATATTGTATTTGCCTGAATATAATGCGTACCAAATTTTGAAAGGTTATATTGAAAAACATTTGTTTCTTTACACATCATTTATCCAAAATGTATTGAATAGTTTCTAAATACAGTAATCAACTATCTATGTATTAAACATTTTTGGAAATCTTTCATCGACATTTTGTTTATGTGTAACTTTTACAAAATTGATTGAAAAGTTTATACGTTGTAATACACTACGCTAATCCTTCATCTTCACACAAGTCTTCATCATCGCTAGAACTGTCACTACCATTGGATTTGTTTCCTCGAACCTTTACTTCATTATCTTTTGATTCACACAGCATGTTATCATCTGTACCATCCGTTGCATTGGATATGCACCATTATTTTAAATGTTTAACGATGCTTTGATGATTTTCTGTGGTAGCTTCTAGTAAAATATATATCAAATTGAATGTGCATGAATATAATACAGTCAATTTTTTGGGAGGTACTTGGAGGAAAAAAAAGTGCATATTATATTTGGGCATTTAGAATACTTTTGTTTTAAACCTTACATCTTCCCTAAATACCAAGATTACTTTCAGCACATAATACTCTATTAATAAACGTAAACCAATCAACTAATTTCTGTACATTTTAACTGAATGTGCACAGATCAAAGAAGAAATTTTGATTATAATTTCAAATTTACAAAGTGTATCTTCATGTAATGTAGCAAATATTTAGTAAATGCTACAAGTCTGTTGCACAAAAAATCAGATGCGTTAATAAAGTCATTGTGCTAAAGATGTGCCTGTGAAATAGCTGGCTTGGACTCTGACAAGTTGGAGTACAAGGTGATGTTCATAAACTATGAAAATACTTTTGTCTATCATACAGTTTGTAAATTGTATTCATATAGCCTCTACAACTTCGCAGATTCATATCAAGCATTTTTTTCAGTATTCCTGTATATTATATGTGGTTATTTCTTTACTCTAACATGACCTGTTGCAAAATCAACAATGTAGGGTAGCATGAAAAGTTGATAGTTCTGACCCCAAATTCTTAATACCATGTTAAATAACACTCTTTACAAGGATGGGGCATAGACAATTTGACCCCCATCCATACACATAGGGTTAATCATATAATAAAAATAACCACTGAAAATTTACAATTCTCTATTCTTTAAATAACAATACATTGAAAACTACTTTAAACCTATCATACAATCTAACTTAAAGCTTTTCTTCAATGATTACCTCAGTTAAGAGTAATTTCAGTGGACATGAAATGAAAATGTACAAGCTTTTTAGATAACAAAACCTGTACCATAACCAGCTAGAAACTGCAGTTTCAAACAATACCAGCTTCCTTCAGTCCAGTTTGTTTACATGATAGAAACTCACTCAACAGAACTTTATACGGTTTTAGATGTAAACGATGGCTTGGTGTAGTTTTATATACCAACACATCTTTATTCTCACTCATTCAACAAAAAAAGATTTGAGGTAATAAAGCTTTTCAAGTAAACTTAGTAGTCATGTTTACCTCACATATATGTAGTGTGAATTGTGAAATCCAAAATTATATGTCTATATTAGTTGTTAGAATATTACACTGGCATAAAGAAAAACAAAAACTCTCATTACACTATTCTGAACCAATTAAAAAAAAAAGATGTAAGTACAAAAAATATGTAATAAAAATAAGTCCATATATGTGTTTATATATTTAAATTTTTGTACAAGAATAAAATTTGTGTGCACATATAAAATACCTTTGCTATATTCTGGCCATCTATAGTGATCTCACCAGAACAGATATCATAGAAGCGAAACAAGAGGCGAATGATTGTTGTTTTCCCACTACCTGAAGGACCAACCTAGAAGAAATATAAAAAAATGATACAAAAATCCTCAAAATTTATGTATTTGTTTTATTTATGAAAGAAACTAAAGGTAAAAATAAATAAATTTAGTATCAAAGAAAAATGTGATCAATATTCACATTCATATATACATTGCACACACAAATACAAACCAAGAATTGAAAATAAAACATAATTAACTCTTTGTTGCCTTTCAGATTCTACAATTTTTATGTAAAATTGTCTTTTTCCAGTCGGTCAAAAAGTAATAAAAAACCATAAACATTACAAGGACTATTTAATTATATTTTTGGGTTAGGAAAAAAATTTATTTGCAAAAGCTACACTTCCTACTTCTAAAGCATTCTAGCAAAACTCCCTATAACTGCTTGTTACAAATAATACTTTAATTGATGTTTCCTGAAGAAGGCTTGGAAAAATTAAAATTTGTAATTGTTTAGACTCTGCTCTAGAAATTTACTACTTCCTGTGATGAGTTATGTTTATAATATGTATAACCCCATTTCCATATGTTTTTAAAGTTACTGAGGAAAAGTACCAGACTTTCTAAATCTACTGGTCTAGCAGCTTTTCTGGCACCATTTGTAAACTGAGTAAAAACCAACTAAACAAAATATAAGCTTATTGCAATAATGTATTTACATCTTTTAAAATTCTTTTAGGATTGACTAAAAGTGAAGTATAGCAATTAATAAAACTCATACATTACAACAAATACCAGACAATTAAATCTAGGAAAAAACCCACAGAAAGTAATAAACAAAATTTTATATCAGTATTTGATCCTGAACCTGTAATTAGTGGAGTGCTCCCTCAATTTTGTGTTACTGATGAGATCAAACATCAGACATGGTTTCTTGGGTCTTAATCCTTCAATACCTGTATTACTCAAACCCTACAAATCAAAGAAGGATAGTAGATTGACAAACCAACTTACATTTTGCAATACTTCACTGGAAACACATGTAAATTAGGCACACAATCTAAAGAAATAGATGATATTACAGAATTACTAGAAAATGAAACAGATAGATAAAGGTGAACTCTATAGGAGTAATAGTACTGGCTAATAGCCTAGGCTCCCGTTCTCCACATTAAACAGGTGGAGTTTTTGTCATAGCACACATACTGTAATACAAACCATGGTAGCATAATCTCCCTAGGTTCAATCCTATGACCTTCAGATCCCAAGACAAACACCTTAATCATTAGGCTACCAAGACAGATGGAAATATTAGATATTCAAGTGGACACTAAATACATTTACACAAATTGTGTATTTAACAAATCAGTGATATTTAAGACTGTGTAGTTTCACTCATACAATCAGCATCATCTTATTCGTTACAAGGATGTTTGAGGCTACTTCGCTTTACAGTTGACCAATCGAGCACTAAAGTGACTGCTGGAAAATTCTTTTATATCTCTGGATAAACTTTCATACCATAAGTATATATATACACTGAGTGGTCACAAGTAAATAGACACCTAATTTTTCGCAATTTAACTGATTTATGCTAACTAATTTGTGTTCACAGAGCACTATATAAATGAAAATGGTCCGCACACTAATTATCTTGTGCTACAACATGCCTAGAACTCAAGGTTCTCTCGAATTGTCAGATTTTGTTAGAGGAAGGATAATTGGTCAAACAGATGGTAGAATAAGTCAGTGGCAAATTTCGACAGTCAACAGTTCAGGAAACACGGCAAGGAAACAACTGAGCAGCGTCCGTGTCCATCGGAGAGGACAGAAAG